GTTTATAAAATTATTTAGCAACTTTGTAGGTCATTGGAATCGTTAGCCTTTTTGAAATAGTTATAATAAATAAATAAATCGTTATAAACAATAAATTGTAGTCAATTATAAATTTGTATTTGTACTCATTGATTTCAAATTTTAAGTAAAAGAAGATGTTCCAATCCACGATAATTTCTTCAATTTATGTCGATGTGCTACAACATTTTTATTTAAAGGAACATGTTTAATATTTATGGAATAATTTATATATTGCAGTATTACTAATTGTTACTTGTATCATTGGTTTTAATACGTTTGTTTATGTAATTATAGTATAAAAAAAACCTCTTGAATATAGTGTAAACTTCGAAACGTCGATTCATCTCATGAAAATATATTTACAATTATTAAAAGGAAATTAAGACTTTTTACCCTAAGTTAATCTCTAAATTAAATTAAAATAGAAGTACTTATTCTAAAACATTTATTTGACTTAACTTTTGTATTTAAGAAGAAGTTGGAATACAAATGTATAATTCATTAGCTTTGCTACGATTTCAGAAAAGCTTGTTGTTCCATTGATCGCCTATGTCGTACAATATTTTGATAAAAAAAGAGAATACCAGACTAGTGAAGGTAGGCCCGAAACGTTTAATAGCGTTAACATATTTATTGTTAAACATAAAATTACCCAATCCTCATGCTTTCTACAATTTTGTTTCTGATTGTGGCATTAGGAAATAAATTCATACCTGAAAAGTTACTCTTGGCAATAAAATAATCTTAAATAGCTAAACTAAAGATTTGGTACAGTTTGATTGAAATTATGCTGCTGCTAAATTAAATTAATTAATTGTAAATGCTACTATATAATTAACTTAAATAAAAATGATCAAATTTACTCGGTGGAAAAAACTTTTATTTCGTTTTTAACAGTCAGAAATTATGAGCATTAATGAAGAGATTTTGATATTTAATGGGAGAACAGAAACGTGTTATATCCTCCAGTTTTATGAAGCTCGTAAGTCAAATAATAATAATTTTGCTTCCTCACTACCGAAGGTAGGGAAGCATTGTATTCGTGCGAGAGGTTAAACAATATTTTATGCTCAGAATCGAAAATTTCCACTCGCGTTTTACGTTTCAGACATCAAGGATCAAATTTGGTTCGGTGTCTGTCTGTAGTACCGTTCATTCAACTTTCATGAAGTTGTTAGGGATTGTGCGGGTTGGTGCCTAGATGGTCCCATATAAATTTTATTAAATTCCGTCCAACACTTCCGCTTGCACACGCGTAAATGTGTTTTCATAGATATGCGAATATTTCAGGAACGTCTCGTTCGATTTAGCTAAAAGCTGTAAGAAAGGTTGGTTTTGGTAAAATAATGATTCTGTATCGATTTTATCGACGCGTTTTCCTTGAGGCGTCTATATCTCTGAAACCGTACGTTCGATGTGGCTCAAATTTGGAGGAATGTTAGGGATTAGTTAACAGATAATTGGGTCAGTATCAATGTCTTTTAATTCTATCCGCTACTCTTTAAAAAAAGACTTTCTCTTTCTGATCAGTAAACGTTCAATTTGACCCAAACTTTAAAAAGAATTTGGAGAATGTTCAGAAATTATCTAGTACCAATTTCATTGAATTACATTTAATATTTAAAATTAATATAAATAACTATTAATAATATAAAGGCTTTGGAATCACATGTAATGGGGGTTAGGTTAATACGATATTTTTATGAGGTTATATCATTTTAGGTTTCATTCAAAAAGTTAATTTATACTATTGTTTGGTCGATTCCAAAATTTACTCGCATGAAACTTACTGCTTTGACTTAGATTTTATGTAATTTTCAATAAATTGTAAGTAATTGTTATTTTATTTAGTTATTAAAAAAAAAGTCTCATTTGTGATCTTGTTTTGATTCTGTTGAAATTTAACCAGCACGTCGTGGTCTCGAATTCCTTCTTAATCATCAAAGTTGTGTGAACATTAATCATATTTTTATATTCCAGCTTAAATTAGTTATGTTCTAATGCAAACAAAAAAATGAGATTTTCCAATGGATTTTTTGTTCCATCCATTTCACTAGTGAATACATACCTCTAAGTATATATCGCTACTGTTAGTGTAAAATGTCGTATATAACAATTTTCCATTGTTATTCTATTTGTGCTAAAGGTGTTATGCAACTGATATAGGCACTATAGAAAATAAAATATAAAATTACTCTAATGAATCAGATAGAAATAATTAGTTTTATGCTCTCCTATAAAACACTCAATTTTTACTCCTACTTTTTGCACTTTTTGTGATTTACATCTTCAGTATGTACTGAGATTTGTTTTCTTTAATCGCGATTCATCAAATACGCGATTTCGAAATGTAGAATTCTTCCGCATTTTAGTATTAGCTGATGAACTAGATTGATGGATATCAAACCCGCAAATGCTAAGGAATCACTGTATTTCTGCAAATGACTGTTTCCGGATAATATATTCTTCTACGAAAAATTATAGATTTTGAAATATAGAGTTCAGCCAATGAAAACGGTGAGGAAGCTATTCTGAACTTGTTTAGTTGATGTTTTTTTACAGCTAACCTTGGCTTTCGCTGAAGTTTTTCTGTATAGTAATATTTTTTTAATTGGTAAAATATATATATATAGGATTTTGAGGTGTTGATAAAAATAACGAAATTGACATATATTGTGCAATCTTCTTCATTATTTTTATTTTTGGCTTTGTGAATCATTAATTAATTAATATTTGATATTAAATAAACAAAAATTATATCATTAAAGAAAATGCTCAACTATGATAAAGGGCGTTTATCTGTAGTAAATAAAATACTTTAAAGGCAGAAATTGTAAATTAATTAATAATGAACTTTTAATTTTCGTTTTCTCCATTTTTTATTAAAATGAACTTAAAACTGTTTATATATATATATATATATATATATATATATATATATATATATATATATATATATATATATATATTTTTTTTTTTATTTCTAATTTTCACAGATTTTTTAAATTCATTTTCCCGTAGTATATCAATGGTTCTTGATAAAACTAATTTTGGATAAAAGCCAGAACTTTTGTTTACAAGTTGCAATGATATCAGATTTATTAATAGGATGTAATATCTGAATTCCCTACAGCTGGAAATTATGAGCTCACTAGAATATTAAAAATTCTTTATTTATTTATTTTTTCTATTTTCTCATGTTCTACATTCTCGAGATTTAAATAATCGGATTAAAATATATTTATGTTTATTCGTAAGTATGTAAATATTCGTAAGTTTGTATATAAGATTACATTTGATCAAATAGACGTACTGTATTTACTTCCCGCTATCAAATTGATCTTTTTACGGTTTAGCCAGGACGACACGTTGTTATGTTATTCTCGCCTGTTTTTACGTGAAACCTTTCTGACAGTTTATTTATAGGACTGCAGGCTGTCTGTAAGCCCGCCGTTGTCTAAGGTTTTAAAAGGAATATCTTGCATGGAACAAAAATTATTTTAGAAATTCTGAGCTTCTTTTCTTCAAGAAAATATATTCGTATTTCAACAAAATTATCTTGGTTTTTTTTTTTCAATACATTTTAATAGAATACTTCTATCTGCCCTACGTTATTTTCGAAGTCTTCTGATTTTAGTTTCTATATTCCCAATTAATACAAAAACATATGGTTCAAATACATATTCAATATGACTGCTCGTAAATATAAATAACCAAATACAGTTCATTCATATTTCATTGAGTTTCATATATTTTGAAACTTTTAACAAATCTGTCAGTAGTAAAAATATACTAATATTATTTTCGGACAAAATCATTAACAAATTAACTAGTCAGTTTTATACTCTTCTATATTATTATAAGTAACATATAATTTAAATTATGATTAAATTTACATTTTTGATGCGAGATATTAATATGAGATATCTTAAAGAATTTTTTTAATATTATTTTTTGTTAATTAGTAAAAAAATGCCTTAATTGCACGACTTATGAGTTGAAGTCTGCTATTATCTCACTCCCTTCCCCGAAAACCTTTTTTTTCTGATTCACACTCTGCATACGTCAAGAAAAAAATAAGCTATCCCTTTGATAATAATGGATAAGCCTACAAAATAATAGTTTAAAAAAAATTGTACAGCAAGGAGCAAAAAAATAAATAAAATGAGAATAAGGTAGGGACTAAATGAGACAGGCGGACAGAACATGGAGGCTGGTCCTGACGCGTAGTATAGTTGTCCAGGCAACCCAACACGATCGATATTTCTTCCGAAAGCATGGCTTCACTTCCCCAGCTTTTTCTGCCCTAACCTAACAGACGCTTTCTCGTCATTTCATCCTTAATCGGGATAAATTGGTACTCTAAATATATATGTATATATACTAATATATATATATATATATATATATATATATATATATATATATATATATGTGTGTATGTGTGTGTGTGTGTGTGTGTGTGTGTGTGTGTGTGTGTATTTACAGTATAAATTAATTTCCATCATCAACTATTCATAGATAATAAATCGCTTGGCATATATAAAACATAATCTATTCTTTTAAAAAATAAAGTAGAATAGCCGCTAATGTATTTTTAAACTGATTTATGAATTATGAATATGTTGTGAGAAGTCATATTTTTTGTTGAATGATTCGTTTTAATAGGTAAATTTGGTTTATTACATATGTTTTTGTTTAACTGGCATATTTTTTGTTATTTTCTGAAAAAAATATAGTTGAACACAATACTTGCTATCAATTCAAACAATATAATAAAAGTAATTTTTTAATTTAATTAATTTAAAATTTATGCTTGAAAAAAATTATCATGATGAAAAAAATAAATTATTTGAATACCTTTCACGCACATCAACTTTGCAACATTGCATGTATTTGAGTAACGTATGATGGGTTCCACCCTTGTGGTTGGTTTCCTTATTGACTCCTGACTAATGACTTGACATGTTCTGTTTCAGATAAAGAAGCAGGGAGGATTAATGGAGAGGAGGAAGCGAGTGGGAGGATGAGCGATGGAGGAGGCGAAGGAGGAGGGGGCTACGGCGGGGGTTTTCCTTCGCCGACCCCCTCCTCGACGGTCCCGGACGGCACCGACCCCAAGTCCGGGCTGCCGCCCTTCTCGTCCTTCCAGGATGAGACGCCCAGGAACACCGACGGCGAAGCTCTCCAGACGTCCAGGCTCCTCGACATCTCCTCCTGGGACTACTACGGTGAGGGGCTCAGTGGCAGGTTCCTGGACCGAGGGGACGGCTTCCCAATGCTCCTACCCCAACCACAGTACCGCCCTTGGGAGAGCAAGGACCAGGATTACCCCGGCTCTCCGGCCAACAAACTCCCGTCCTTCCAATCCCAGTTCACCGCTTTCCCTCAAGATCAGAATGGTGACGGAACCGTCCTCACCACTCTGACCCCTGCACCAAGTTCTCCCAACTCCGGCCTACCGAGCTTCCACACGTTGTCCACAGTGCCCCCACGGGGGTATCCCCTGGTGCCGGCCCCGGTCCAGGCTCGGGAGATACCCAGCATACAGCAACAGCTCCTGGACGAGAGGCACATTCACCTCTTCCAGGGGCCGCAGCAGTATCACCAGCTGGGGTCTTACCAACCTCAGCAACAGACCACCCTCCTCACCGTTGTAAAGACTGAGCCCCTCATCGTGACCCAACTCCAGCCAAGCTATGAGCACCACGAGCTCAAGATGGAGGACAGCGGGTCACCAAGAGGTTACCTCGACTCGAGGAAGAAGGAAAGGAGGAAATTCAGAGCCGCTAGCCTGGAGAGTTCGAACGAGAGCGACGGAGTGGGTAGTTCGAGCGTCGAAAGTTCAGGACAAGTAGCGGCAATCTCTAGCACGGCGGGATTCAAGAGCCCACTCGCCTGCCATCAGAACCCCAACATGCACCCGGAGGACGATCTCCACGACTTGACTGATAAACCGGCCAAGAAAAAACGCAAACGGTGTGGTGAGTGCATCGGGTGTCAGCGAAAAGACAATTGTGGGGATTGCGCACCATGTAGGAACGACAAGAGCCATCAGATATGCAAGATGCGGCGCTGTGAAAAATTAACCGAAAAAAAGGTAAGATGTCTTTCTCTGTTTTATATTCTCTGTGTAGATGTAGTTTATTGTGTTTGTTTTTAAAAAGTATTTGTAGATGATGGTTAATTCTTTAAAATGGTAGCTAGCTCCTGTAATATATATACACTGATGAGGACTGTAATCCTCGAGCCGACAGAGGGTGTACAGGATGTACTGTCCCAATTTTTTGCTTCCGTTCCGAGTAGACTGGGCCTAAAGGATTCTCCACGGTAGTAAAGGAAACAGCCGCCAGGCATCGCATCAGTATAAGACGGCTCATATATTATTTGGCCCATGCAGCTTCCTAAGTCTGATTCACCCGCTCTGAGTCATTACGAGATCAATTCCACTTCACATTCCGCCAGTCATTCTCGACTAACGACCCTCGCTACCTAACGATAATATTTTTAATTTCCAATATGACCTCACTATTCAGAATATTTTCCAGTTTAGGTTTTTCATTGTTAACTATACCAGATCATTCCATTATCGGTACCAATAGTAGTGATGTACAGAGGATGGACTACAAAATGAGCGAGGACACAAAAAAGTGTTATCTTATCTGATATGTCTTCCACACTGAACTGCTATTGTAGAGTTCGATTGAACACACTGACTATTTTATTCCAATCATGTCAAAGCTCACTTAAAAACGTAATGTTATTCGAAAAATACGTTAATTTATTTTCTTCACTTTTCACTTGATAACTTCCTTTACAATTTATATTATTCTTCCCTTAACTTAAAACTAGGTCTCTTCATTAATTATTGTCAAGCTTAAGTTAAATTCAACTTTGATTCTGTGAATGAAATGTTCATTCTCTAAACAATATCTCAGAATTTCATGAGTAATTATTTGCTGGTCAAAATACAAGTACAAAATGGTCAAGTATTTGCCTTTTACTAAACGTACTAAAATGATGAGATTATTTAATTTATTCAACTTCACATAATATTATAATATATATTTTCCATTGAGGCTATATTCGCTACACAGCCTCAGAGCGAAATTTCCTGTAAAGCGGAGTTGTTCCGTAATAAATTCGTTATCTGGCGTTGGTTTTGAATGGTTGTGCTATTTCAATGTTATCTCTACTTTTCGGGTTGCGAACTACGCTATCCGCACTTATTCTACGCGTATTTCTTGTCACTTGTATCCCAGAAATTTAATACAGTTTCAAGAGGAAATGATGTTTGTAATTTTTTTTTTGGTAATCTTTTGAATATTTTTACTGACTCTATAACAACGGAAAGGTTAATTAAACGGCGTGAAGTTAATCATCCAACTGTTGGGTGGGGGGAGGGTGGATCTTTGCTCTATTTGGTAATGTTGACATTGGCCCCAAACGGCACAACCTTTTCACTTATTTTTATTCACTTTATTGTTATAAATGAAAAAACGATAAAACATCGAAAAAATCTTTAGCATCAATGGTTACTAATTATTAAAAATAATAATGATGATTTCATTAAGTTGTCAATGTTAAAATATGAACTATTTCATAATATATAAACATGAACTTAAAATGGTAGCTGAGTAGCTCTGAGTGTAAGGCACTGTGCTCCAATTCTTCAGGCTCCTGGTTTGAATAATTTATTCTGCAACATCAGCTGTGGATCGACCCTGGGGTTAGGATACTGTCATTGGACACACCCTACCTCTTTATAGTGGCTCTCTCGGTCAAATCACCTCCTTGCACAACCGCTGATCAAGAAACAATACTTTCTTACAAATTATTGAACCTCCAGATTTTCCTTCAGCATCTTCATGTGTTTTAGGGATATCTTTTTTTTTTTAGATTTTGGTTTTTCGTTAGGTTAAGAATGTTGTTTAATACATTGCGGGAATAGAAATATTTAAATTCTTGTTATATATCTGCTTCTTAGTGGCGTTGGTCACATTAACATCATTTTCGAAAAGGGGATTACTTTGACAATATCAATACTGACGATTGTTTAAAAAGAAGAAAATCTTTTTATATTATTAATATACTTATATATTTTAATTAGTAACTAATATGAATAGTTATTTTTATTCCTCACCATCCTGTTTGAAGGCAATATCCTTCTACGCCGGGACTCTTATCAACTTCCGCCCCGGACGTTGCTCTTCTGGTGCCGTACTCGATTAATTCGCAAGAGTGGGTGGTGATCCGGCTTGTGCGCAAAATGTTTGTCCAGCTTGCGCATGTAACGAAGCGACTTGCTCCGCAACCAGCGACAGATGAACAAACCCGGAGACGCCAAATAAGAGACGCTCTAAGTCGCTGTTGACACAGCCCTGTCTACACACAGCCTTCTCGTTAGTAGCCGGCATTATCCGACCAAACAGCAATCCTCGTCCCTTCTTCAATTATGCGATCCGGCATATACTTAATACGATTTGCCAAATTGCACATGTTTGAGAAATTTATATTTAAATAACAAAGCGCGCTTTCATCATTCTCTTTACTTACATCATCAACATGGCTTATATCTCGTGGAATACAATCATTCGTGTTAAGTATTATATGTTAGTAATTTTTGAAAATAATATTAAAATGTAACACAGTCACAGAAAAAGCACCAAACTGTAACAAATCACATCATTAAAATTATTTGTAGGTTGGAGATGTGAAAATAATAAAAAAAATGATGATTAAATATTGTCCTATTTTTTTTTTTTTTATTTGTACAAATGCTTTTTTCTTTATACATATGATCTTTACCTCTACGGATTTTACTTAAAATTTTAATTAGAAAAAAATTTACGTAATCAAATGCTATCCTCAGGCGGTTCTCAGTATACCAAAAAAAGATTTGAAAAATATGTATTTGATTACTAATGGTTGATTCAGGGTTGGGTATATATACTGATGAAAGTCATATGATTGCTTGCCGGGAAATACAATACATTGGTGGTACATAGATCATTATTTATTTAACTTGGACATGAATATGTTATATTCAAAACTAATATTGAATATAAATAATATTGAACTTAAAAATTTATAGAAATTTATTGATAATGTAAATATAATATTGATATTATTTAAAAAATACAATTGAAGGGAGCATTATTTATTTATTTATGTATTTTTTTACTCTACAGGAAAATATTTAAATGTCTAAAAGCTAATTAAAAGAACTAATTTTAACTATTTTGGAATTTAATATAGTTCATTTATCTTTTTACACCGTTTTTTATCTTAAAAAGTCCTAACATACATAGTTCAATATAATTTATTTTTTGTGTTTCGAAATTCTCTACTGTCTGATTTTGTTTTCATTAATCTGCATTTGTTTTATAATTTTTATAATCTACCTATATTATATTTTATAATGATATAAAATTATAAATATAATATATAAAGTGCAAATAACTGCAGTGAATTATTGGCGTATCACTGACCTAGCCTACATCGTACTATAAAGCGAACAGCTATCTCCAGCTTTCAGGCCCTTCAGGGTTCCTGGAAGAATGTAAATGCCTGGATAAGACCCGGGAGGGTTGATCCCAAGGGCAAAGGACTGCTCTTTAACAGTTACCCAAACCCTTCTCAAATATTTAAGCACTTTTCGTCAAAACACTGTCGGCTTAAATCTAGCTAATTATCTTATTACGATTTAGACTAATTTTTTGGTATTTACATTCATACGTAAACAAGTAATTTTTTGGTTCAAAGGATTCCAATTAATGTATATAAAATACTTTAAAAAAAAAATCTTAATATTTGATTTGGAATCTTTCTCAATTTATATATATTATTATTTTTTTTATTTGATCACATTAAAAATTCACAAACTTAAAAGTATTACTTATTCTTTAAATCATTTTTGGCTAAGAGTCACTGAAAAAAATCCGTATCTGTACTATCCATTTATTTCCGACGTTTCGGTTTCATGAGCCTTTTCTCAGGTATCATATGTAAAATTTATAATTAGTCATAGATCATTAAAATATTTCAACACATCAATTGTTTACTTAATATATATACATTGTCATCATTCTTAATTTATATAATGTAATACAGTATATAATATAATTACTTTAAAAAAGTTTAGTTCATATATATTTTATAACATTTTAGAACACCTTTAAAATATTTTTATCATTTTTAAACAATAACTTCTTTCTAATTACTGTATTCAGGTAATTTCGTTGATATTACTATAATTGTATATAACTTATTATTATATAATAACTACAAATTTGTTTCTAAAAAGAATATAGTTATTTTGATCATAAATATGTCCTGGGTTGACCAAAAATAATTTAAAGAATAAATAATTAAATGCCACCAAACATTAAAAAAATAATTTTTAATATTATTATTTTTTTAATACGACTTGAAAAATAAAATGATTACTTTCCTCCTCATCTAGCCACTTATTGATTATAAAAAAAAATAATCGTACTTTTGTTTTCTAACATTAATTATCTATTAATGTAATTAAGTTATTTATACTACCCAGATAACTTTTGTTCAATTCTTTTAACTGGTTCGCTTGGGCCTAAAATGTATATTATTATTTCTAATACTGAGATCTTTCATTAATAGTTTTAATATAAAGTAATTTGCAAGTAAGTTTTAATAAACAATGACACCATTTAATATTTTTATTATTGTCAGATTATTTTTCATACATCTTACTTTTCAATTGACTGGCTTGAATGTTTTGATTAGATAGGATAATTTAACCATTTATGAATTACGAAGTTGATTGCACCAGCTCAATGTTAACGAACGTAAACAAACGGTTGCAAAGCTGGCGAATCCGGCCCGGAGGACCACGTGCGAAGACGGCAGCGCCCCCTCCCGCGGGGAATAGAAATTTGTAAATATGGCGGTGGGGGTCAGTGGATGCTGCCATGAGATGCCGTCTTAGTGTGATCAATACTACGCTCTGAGTCATAGCTCCCACCCCCACAGCATCCCTCTCTCCGCTGCCCGGCCAAAAATCGAATTTCCTTCATGTCTGTTTACGTGCTTAATATTCCGAGGGTCCTTCGTTAGCTACCAATTAGGTACTGCAAACAAGACGTTTACTTTTCTCTGTTAGAGTTTTTTTTTTCGTTTATCTCTCTTCCTATTTTTCTCACATCCCATTTGTATTATTTTTATCCATATATTTTTCCTAAGACTTTTAATATTTTATTTTATTATTATTTTTTTGTGTGTAATAATCTCTTAGTTTTATTGCTTTCTAATATGGACCTTAAAATATATTTTTTTGTTTATTGATTATTTACGGCCGCGTTTACAGATTGATATTACGTTATAACTATATATATATTATATGAAGTCATTAATATTAACATTATTTAATTAAACATTAGTTCAATTAAGATTTAATATTATATTATTTTATTATAATTATGTGCTAATTGCCTTTTATTATATACAATCCGCGAATTTCTGCTGCACTAACGTTTTAAATTTAAAAATTAAATAATTTATAAATGTCGAAATGTGTCTTGTTTTGAAATAAAGGAAGGATTTTATCTTTTAAAAAGTGTCTAAATTTCTTTATGAAGCTGAACTTTTTTTTTTATGCAAAGAGTTAACAAAATATTACAAACTTGTTTAAATTTTATTTATAAATAAACTCTTTATTTATAAATAAAAGGATGTCTTTTTGATTCTAGATATCCTTTATTTGATTGTGCTTGTTCTTTTTCATTAATATTAATATTTAAAAAAAATAGTTTATAGTCTTGACGTTTCATCATTAATTATTTTCTCCTCACTACTTGCCCGTATATGTGATACGATAACGAATTTATTATTTACTATTAATTTTATGCTTTGAGGTCACTTTGTCCCTCTTCCTCTGTATATAATTTTCTCATGGTCTATATGCTGAGAATGGGTATAAAGTATCTCCGAAACTAACAAATAATAGTTATAATTTCAACGCTATAAATTAATTTAATATAAATGGTTTATTATATTACACTTATTGGCGGCCAGAAATGATTTTTAAAAATTAAGAGCTATTAATTAGGTGTTTTTTTTTTCAAGAAACTTACAAAGAATGACCATTTCGGGATGATTATAAACCTGAATGATATTAATCCTTTGCTATTAGGAAATCGTAAAGTAAGCTGCCATTTGTCGACACACGGCCAGAGGCCCTTTAGGAGAAGAGGCGGGTGTAAATGTGTAAGCGAGCCGAGTTAGGAAGGGCCAGTTAGGGCTTTATAGCTCGGGTCCCTATTGCACTCCATTCAGGGGTTAACTTCCCACCTCGGAGCTGCTAGTTATATAGATAGTTAGCCGAGAACTAGGCTTGTAACCTTTAACCGGTGAAGATAAACGAGTCAAACATATTAGTAAATATTATGGACCTCGTGTCCTATTAACAATGAAATCTTTTTTTTTTTATTTATAATTTTATTGAAATTTACAACTGTATTACATTAAAAATACAACAGGTATATGTGACATTGGTAACATGATATGTAAAATATGAAGAGAAACTACCCATTGGTAGAACTCAAATTAAAGTTCTATATTAGAAGATCCCGAGGCCATCTTCTTTTCAGACGCCTCGGAGGGTTATCAGAGATAGAGGAGGAAGCAATGTTTGAAACAAGAGGGTTCGGATGGTTCTGCAGTTTGTTATGGAAGGATAGGTATCTGGATTGGGCCAAATCGGAAACATATGGAACATTAAGGTCTTTATGGATGATTTTGTTTGTAACAAAGTAAGGAGCGTTGAGGATTTTACAAAGGATTTTGGATTTTAAGGATTGGATACGAGAGGAATTCGATGGCTTAGTGGAGCCCCAGAGCTCAATTCCGTAGGTCCAAATAGGTCTTATTATTGTCATATATATGAGTCGATTGTAATTGAATGAAAGCTTAGAGCGTTTGTCTAGTAAGTGTTGGAGTAGTCGGAAACGTCGAGAAATATTTCTTAAATTATAAATATTCAACCTGTTCTATAAGGCAACCACATCTCAACATTAAACAAGAACCTTCGTGGCACTTAGCTGTGTGTTACATGGTCAAAGTTGCACCATCGAATTTTAGAAAGGATACATTTTTACAGGGTTATCAATTTTTAGTGTAGGCCATATTTTTGTGAGATTTGTACTAAAAAGTCTTAAAAAAAACATTTTTTTTCTCTGTATTGTCTTATGTTGGAACAGTATAGAAATATGGTTATGCGATGTAAATTCTGTCTTTATAGTCTTTATATAAACATTTATAATCATATAGATTTGTAAATAAGGTTTTAAAATATATTCACATTCCTAGTGTATGCAAGTGCTTTTGCAGTAGCTTGCTGAAGTGAGTGTTATGATATACACGCACAAGGTAATGGAAAAACGATTGATTTTTCTGTCAAATTTTAGGTTAAGTTGGTTGATCTTACCAAAAAGGCATTCCTATCATTGGGACACCACGATTAACATCTCTTGGGTGTTTATCAAGCTGTAATATGCAAAAATAGCTAAATGAATTAATTAATTTATTACAAAAATGATTAATTGAGTGATGTTTCAGAAAAATATTTCTGAAATAAGTATCCTTCTTATAATGAAGCAACGACATATAAGTAATATAATTAAATACTTAAAATATTTTTCATATCATATCAAATAAC